GCCAGGAGGCAGAGAGGTGGACAACGGCGAAGGCCGCGAGGATAACACCAGGCGAGGGCCCCTGCGAATGACCCCTGTGAATCCCGCGACACCCAGCGGGGGGACTACGCAGACCCTTGCCCCTGTCGACGAAGCGAGACTGAGCCCTGGGAGCACAGACAACCCCGCGCCAACGGATGCCCCTGCCGCGCCAGCAGGAGTAAATGGAATGGGCACCGCAGGCAGTCTCGAGAACCACACTAACGCAGGTACGCCCAGGAGCGAGCAGACCTCCCCAACAGGCGCGCGTGCCAACCCGGAGCAGCCCACAGCTGGAAACGGGGGGGCCGCGACTCCGACCAGCGCCAGGGACAGACAGTGTACACCAGCAGCCACCAGGGCAGCGAACAACGGAGGGGAAGGATCCCTGACAACCGCACCTCCACGGGCCTCAACGGACCCGGCACCAGCCCAGAGCAGGAGACCGCCTCCAGGCACGGTGCAAAGCTGCAGTAGCGATCCCCTGGGTCGAGGAGATACGCCGAGAAGCGGGCCTGAACTCCCTCCGTGCATGGAGGCGGATTGGAGACGGGAGTATGAAGCTATGGCGTGCACGCTCAGGCAAGCACAGGTGCACGCCACAGACGGCACAGGTAGCCCTCCCACCGTCGACGAATGGAACCGAGTGCTGAGCGCGATAGCTTGGGCTGCTGCAATACCACAACTCGACAAAACCGTGCGGGACCTACATGAAGACCTTGGCCTACCAATGCGAATTCCAGACGCCTTCAGCGCCTATTGGAGCACCCATCCACCCCCTGGGGCGCGCAACCCCATGGGTAGGATAATTCATACACGCGTTGCGGCGCTAACGGCAGACGCGGCCTGTGCCCAACTAAGGCAGCTCGCTGACAGCCCGGCGGCTCGTTCGGACAGCGTGTCGGCACCCGAGGCCCCCTTCCAGGGCCTAACGCCAGCCATGCTCCGCACCATTCTGCGCGCGGGAGCCGGCGCGCCATTCACTGACGACAGAGACCAGGTCCTAAGTGAAACAGTAGAGGCCTCTGCAAGGAACCTCCGCAGATCTGGAAACACCGCCCGACGCGCCAGCACGCCCAGACGCGCGCGCGCACCGGCTGAAACTGTCGGGAGCACAGCAGAGACCGCTGTTGCCAGGCGTGGCCGAACCAGAAGCGCGGCCGGACCGCGACTGCCCGGAGCTAGTGCCCAGCCGCGCAGCACCGCCGCCGACAGGGCGCACAGAAGCCCGTCCCGCCGAGCTCCCCGGGGCATGGCGGAGGGCGCACGTAGGATAATGCCACGAGGCACGGCGCGAGCCAGAACAGCAGGCAACACCAGCAGGGAAAGGTCCACCAGACCAGGCACCAGGGCACCCAATTCCAGGACCCTGGTCGACCTCTGGGAGCGTACCCGCCATAGAGCAGGCGAAGGCACCTCCACTGCCGTCGCAGGCCGTGGAATCACAAGGCAGGCATCCAGACCAGCAAGTGCAGAGGACGGCCAGACTCGCAGGGCGCGGCCCCGACCAGCGGGGTTCACACCAGACGAGGCCACCGCAGCTCCCCAGCCTGCCGACGTGCTCCAACAGGTATGGGAGCGCCACAGGGACGAACGGACCGGCCTCTCCCCAGTCGCCCCTGCAGCCACTACGCTCGCTGCGTACCAAATCGCAGGTCTGGACAACACGCAGATCATCAGCACGCTCATGACTCTTCAGCAGGACGGCATTGTTTCCCTCGGCCCCCCCGACGACACCTGGGACATCTCGGGACACCTCAGGCTCCATACAAACGCCGACCCCAGGCAAGGTGACGACTGGACGCTCGATTTTATTCAGCAAGCAAGAGCCCGAGTTGTCGACCCCAGACCGAGCCCGAGTGCTGCCTCGGGACCAAGCCTACACCTCGTCTCACTCTTCGATGGATGGGGGCTGACGAGACTAGCGATCGGTGACCTCATGGCAAAAGTTGCCACGGTTCCACGCTTCAGATCCTCCGCCTTTGTCGACATAAACGAAGAAGCTGCATCTCGAGTTGAGAGGCGCCGGGACCGCGACAACGCTACACGCTTTGACGGGGGCCCTCCGCACGAGAGACTAGGAGTTGACGTCTGGGACCTACTAAGAGGAGACGACGGCCAGCATCCCTGGTCCGACCACCTGAGAACCCTTGACCCTGGAAGCCTCCTGGTCATCATTGCCGGACTCCCATGTACAAACCTGTCCACAGCCAGCCAGCACGGAGGATTGGACGGGCTTGCTGGCTCCCAGTCAGTGCACTTCTTTGCCGTGCCTCTCCTATGGAGCATCGCGCGCAGGCTTCGGCCGGATGTTCGCGTCCTAGTGTGCTGTGAAAGCCCAGCCACGATGCTAGCGGCACACACGCAGGCAATGTGTACGGCCCTGGGAGAGATACCACCCGACTGGGCGGTTCGCCTCGACGCCGCCCCCTCAGTGGCCAGCCCGAGAGACCGCCTCTGGCTCAGTAATTGTCCTCCCGCTGAAGATCCCGTCGCGTATCCCAGACTCCCAAGAGGTGGCTCCTCCGCACTCTCGCCGACACCAGGAACGGCATTAGGAACATCCTCGCGGAAACCGGAGCCGAGCGATGCTTCCAAGGCTGCACAGAAGGGCTGGCGCTCGTCTGTCAGTTTAGCCAGCGAAGGAAAGGTGAAGGCTTGGGCAGGATGGCTGCTCGCACACGGAAGAGAACATGCACTCACCCTGAGGCTCTTTTCCGGCTTTCTTTTGGGGATCCTGCTAAAAGAAACGCGACATGTCATATCGAACGCAATTTTGTAGGGATCTGCGATAGAATCCTGGATCCTGCTAAAAAGCGCGGAGATTTGTAGGATTCCGGCTTTCCGGCTTTCTTGTGTTATAAAAATACATACATACATACATACATACATACATATAACACATACATGCATACATACATACATACATACATACATACATACATACATACATACATTACATATACACATAAACACAGCAACTATACACATATGTGAGTATATATATATGACATAAGTATACATATGTGTATATACATACATATATGTATGTATATATACATATGTGTGTGAGTGTGTGCGTGCGTATGTTTATGTATCGGATGACATTCGCTCCTCGCAGCTCCTCGATCCCCCCTGGCGCTTGGCTCTCAGCGCCGCTCCCCCTGGCGGCCCTCGGGGCCGCCCTTCCATATGCCCGCGGCCGTGCTGGCCGCCGTCGTCGCGGCGCTGGCTGTCTGGTGCCGCGCTGCGCGCATGGGGGGCGCGCGCGGCCAGCGTCAGATGGCCAAATCCAGCCGTGGCGACGATAGTTCGGACCAGGTGTTCGGAAGGGGTCCAGCCGTGGCGACGATTCGAGATGCGCGCTCCGACCAAAAATTCGAAAATGATCCAGCCGCGGCGACGATTTGAGATGCGCGTTCAGACTAGGATATTTGATCCAGTGGGATCCAACCGTGGCGACGAATCGATGAGCGCGTTTAGGCTTCGGAGGGCACCCAGCCGCGGCGACGATTCGAAATGCGCGTTGAGATCGGATCGGATTGGGCCCAGCTGTGCAGACGAACCGAACGGAGTGAAACAACGCATGAGCATAAACGCTTGGATGTCCGCTCGGATTGCTTGTTTCGGCGCTCGCCGTGCATCCCAGTCAGCCGTGCAACGTGACAAATGGGGTCTGTCATATGACAGACCCGTCTGTCATATGACAGACCCGTCTGTCATATGACAGACCCGTCTGTCATATGACAGACTGGCGGCGCGTCGCGCGCCGCACTGAGAAATCCGAGCTGACCTCCGAACGTTTATGTTCATGCCATTATCGTGGTACGCGTGCGGATCGCCCAACCCCTCTCCGAGAAATAAAAGAAACCATGATAAGTGGTTGAAGAAGGCGACCATCCAGAAACTATAGAACATATGGGGAATATTGGGAGGTGTGTGTTCATGTGTGTGCCCATGGGCCCGCTCGCACCATTCCACAAAGGCTCCGCGAGGGCCGCGAGGCGCTCTGTGGGCTCCTGGGGGGGGTATCCTGAGCCCACCGCGCTCCCCATCCACGTTCACGCCGCTCGTTGAAAGTATCTCTGTTTGGACCTTAAGATCCCAATACATGTCACGTGTCGTATTACTTTTAATATCGATATGGTGTGGTTGTCATTGTTATTGTTGCGTGTGATCAGCCTTTATACTTCATGTGTCCACCTTTCTACTTTCATGTGTCGACCTACCTATTCTTATTGCTGGTGGGTACGTACCCTCCCCCTGGGCCTCGTCCGCACCATCCCCCTCGTTCGGTCCCGCGGGAATGCCGTGGCGCGAAATCGCAGTCGAAGATGGGGGTCCTGGCGCCCGAGGAACTACCAGGGGTGAGGGTTTGTCAGCCCGCGCTGCGAGGGCCAGCCACTACCATACTGCCTGACATCGTCCAAGGCGGCGGAATGCAACGCCCACGTTGCAGTGCACTCACAATTCGCGCGGCGGCCGCGACACCCTGGATTGCACGGCCCGACTGGTCAGTATCCGATGCCACCGCCGTGCAAAATGAAAGGCCGTATTGTAGTGGATGACTCTCGCAGCGCGGGCATGGCTAACCCCCTCATATGGGGTCAAGAAGCCCAGGGGATATCCAGGGGTGCACCCCTGGAAATATCCTGGGCTTCTTGATCCCATCTTCGTCGATTTCGCGACGTCGCATTCCCGCGGGACCGAATGCCAGTCCTGGGCTCAGGGGTGGCATTGGATAAACACTGAGATGCCCACGGCGCAATGCACTCGCAATTGGCACATCGGCCGCGACACCCTGGATTACACGGCCCGACGTTTCGACATTCGATGCCGCCGCCTCGTTATCCAATGCCACCGCTGAGCTCAGGACTGCAAGTCTCTGATATTGCTAGGCGCCTCGACCGAGCGATATCTCCAGCGGTCTGCAACCGCTCCTCGGGCCGCCCGCGCATCTCGCACGGCTACGGCCTATGCACCTACGAGTCTGCGACCCAGCCGCCGCCGTCGCCAGGCCCTTCACTCACCGCCGTCAGCAGGCCCGTCAGCGGGCCCGTCAGCAGGCCCGTCATCAGGCCCGTCATCAGGCCCGTCAGCAGGCCCGCCAGCAGGCCCGTCAGCAGCAGGCCCGTCAGCAGCAGGTCCGTCAGCAGCACGCCCGTCATCAGCAGGCCCGTCAGCAGCGCCGTCAGCAGGCCCCTCGGCATGCCCATCATCAGGCCCGTCAGCAGGCCCATCATCAGCAGGCCCGTCGCGCGCCGCCTTGGCGATCGCCCTCACGGCCTTCATGTCCTCATCCGAGACCTTGGCGGGGTCGTTGACAGATCCGACGATGTCCATCACCTGCGTCCTAATCATGTCGATGATCGTCGTAGCCCGCTCACGTGCGTTCTCGCCGCCGACCTCGAGAATCTGTTTCTTCTTGGGGCGGCCCAGGGCTCTCATGAATACGGCGACCTTGCCGTTGTGGCCGTTCGCAAGGATGAGCTCAATCTGCGTGTCATCCTCAGGGGTGCGGTGGATTTACAGCCTCCTTCGCCCCCCATCCCTCGCCCTCTTGCACTCCTCCCTCGCTCCATGTCCCTCCCTCCTCCGCCCCTCGCTTCCCGTCTTTCACTCCCCTCCATTTACTCACCGTCCCTCACTCCACCCTGTCCCTACATCCCTCATGCCTCCTTTCCTCCACGACCCACTTTCCCCCTCGTTAGTCACGAGGGGGCGAGGGCGGTGCTGGGCGCGGGGCCCCCCAGAGCGCGGGGGCGCGCAGGAGAGAGAGGATCTGGAGGACGAGGATGAAGAGGGGGGACGAGGATGATGACGAGGAGAGCGACGAGTACGGGGAGGGATATGATGCGGAGGAGGCGGACACGAGGAGGATGTTTGGTTTGCGACGCGTCCTCCGCGGCGCCATCGGCTGGTTCTCCTGCTGCATCGGCTGCACCTGCTGCTGGTGCTGGTACTGCACCCGCTGCGTCGCGTGGTACTGCGCCCGCTGCTGGTGGTGGTGCTGCTGCTGCTGCTGCCGCTGGCTTGGACATCATCGCTGGCCTCTTCGATGCGGCAGCCTTCTTGCCAGCCTTACCAGCCGGCTTCTTGCTGACGGGCTTCGACGGCTGCACATCCTCTGCCTCCTCTGCCTCCGCTGCATCTGCTTCCTCATCTTCGGGAGCTTCGGCCGCGTCCTCATGCTCCTCCTCATCCTCCTCCTCCTCATCATCCTCGCCCTGGGCATCTGCCTCGTCACCTTCGCTGTCGTCCTCGCCCGCCTTGCGCTTCTTGAGCTGCACCTTCCCTTTGGCCTTGGCCTTGCCTTTGGCCTTCGCCTTTGCCTTCGCCTTCCCTTTGGCACTGGTGGCCTTCCCTTGGGCCTTGCTCTTGCCCGCGGGCTTCGGCTGCGCCTTGGGGGGGCGCTTGAGCTTCCCGTCGTCTCCGAGCCAGTCGGCCGACAGCTCCGACTCCCACGAGTACGGCTCGCCGTCGGCGCCCTTCACGGAGTCCCACACGCCCATCACGAAGCCGTCACCACTCACCCGAAACCATTCAGCTTCTCTGGCCGAGCCGTTGGAGAGCACGAGCTGGATGGCACGGCCATCGAAGTGGCAGAAGATCGGATGATTGTCCTCGTCGTCATCGTCGCCGTCGGAGTCCAGGACCGACGAGCTCCCGAAGCCGGCGCCCGTCTGAGGAGGGCTTGTGAACAGCTCGGGAACCCTGTAGTTGATGAACGGGTTCTGGACTGGCTCCTGCTGCGCTGCTGATCTGCTGGGCTTGGCGGGCGGCGACGGCGAGGGCCTCGAGATCAGCGACGGCATCGACCTCAGCTCGGGCTGCGCTTTCTCGATCGCAGTGCTGGTGAGCTCCTCGGATTACGCAAACTATCCGCACGGCGCGCAGGGCGACAGACGACGTCTGTCATATGACAAACGGAACTGTCATATGACAGACGTTGTCTGTCACCCTGCGCGCTGGCAAGTCGATCAGACACGGCGCGATCGGCCGCGATATCGCACCCGCTCCTTCTTCTTGATCCTCAGGTGCGACAACATGACGCGGGTCTTGAGCGCCCAGTAGTCGTGGAGCCCGTCGACGGGGTAGCCCGTCGCCCTGGAGATCGCCCTCACCCTCGTCACGTTCTCCGCCGGCGCCTTCGTGATGCCGTAGAAGCCCTTGGCGACGTCGATGTGGTCGAAGAACCCGCCGCGCGGGTCGAGACGCAGCAGGCCTTCCAACCACGATGCGTGCTCGCACAGGCCGTCAACGTCCATGCCGACGCGCATGTCGCTGGAGGCGTATGCCACGCCGTGGTTGCTGCCGAGGATCTTGTCGGCGTGCGGCCTCAGCGCATCCTGAGCGTTCCGACGACATCGGTGCGATACAACTGAGGAGAGATGAGGTCGGAGCGAAGAGTGGAGGGGATGCGGATGAGAGGCGGAGTGAGGAGTGAGGCGGACGGAGTGAGGAGTGAGGCGGACGGGGTGAGGCGGACGGAGTGAGGAGTGAGGAGTGATGGACGAATAAGAGTCGGGGGAGGAGGGACAAAGAGCGGAAGGTTGAGAGTGATTCCTCATATTCCATCCTCCTCCTTCCTCCTTCGTTCTACGTTTCCTCCTCTTCCTCATCCGTCTTCCTCATCCTCATCCTCATCTTCCTCTTCCTCATCCTTCTAACTGGAAGGGCGGTGTGGGTCGGCTTTTCCCCGACGTCCGTGATCGCTTCGTGCGCCTCGCCATCGCGAGGCTTCCAGTTCCGCGTGCGGCCCATAACAGGGCCAGAAAAAAAAACAAAAAAAAGCTCGGGCGCTGGGAGCGGCCCATGACAGGGCCGAAACCTGCGTTCGAGAGCGGTCGCGGCGAGGGGGCGATGGGAGGGAAGGGGGGATGGTCGGAGCCACAGCTCGAACGCATGGGCGAGAGTAGGGGGCAGGGGTCGGCGGTGCCAGCCAGGTGCACGACGTCGACTCGAGCTCCAAGAGTTTACGGCAGAACGGTGCAGCAGGCATTGATCCTGCTCATCTCCCACTCTTCCTCCTCACCCTTCTCGCCGCCCCATCCTCCCAGGCAGCCCAGCTCGAGAGCAACGCTGGGAGGTGCTTGGACATCGTGCACGTGTTTTGCGGATCTGGTGGTATACACAATGCCGCGCTGAAGCGCGGGCTCGACACCTGGCAGTTCGGCCAGCACCTGGACCCTGGGCACGACGTCACGACGGTGGACGGCTTCCTCGTTCTGCTCGACCATTTGCTCCAGGTCACCATCCCACCCTCTACCCTCCGCCCTCCAGCCCCATGCCTCCACCGCCCTGCACCCTGCACCCTGCGCCCTCCACCCTCTACCCTCCGACACATCCCACCCTCCGCCATCCACCATCGTCTTCAGCCATCCACCCTCGACCATCTGTCCTCCACCCTCCACCTTCCACCCTCCGCCCTGTACCACCCCCTACCATCCACCATCCACCCTCCACCATCCACCCTCCACCGCCGTCCACCTTCCACCACCCTCCACGCGGTCCTCTGTCTCTCGCCCTGGGCGAGGTGCGTGAGAATGGCCTTGTGTGGGTGTCTCCCGATTGTGCGAGCTGGGGCTTCGAATCTACCCACGAGGCGGAGAGAACGAGGAATTGGCGCGCCTCGACCCAAGACGTCGAAGCACGCTTGGCCATGGAACCACCGCCAGGCATCGAGGGCAAGCAGACGAACCCCGACGTGCGGCGTGGCAACAAGATTGCCAGAATCACTGCATTTATAATTCGAGTGTGCCACGCCCGCAACGTTTGGACCACGCTAGAGAACAACGGTAAGAGTTGCATGTTCGCATACCCTACCATCGCCTCCACGCTCCGAGACCTGAACTTATATGCGACGGAGGCCCACTCGTGCATGTTTAGGTGCAGCGGGCAGCAAGCAACGACTGTACCCAGGATGACGATCCGAATGTGGAGTTCGTGCTGGTGGATTGTGGCTGCTGGATTATCGTGCAAGTGCGGTGTCAGACATCGACGGGTCAAAGAGGAGAGCATGGGCATTCGTCTAGAGCACTGTGGATCGCATGACTGAGAGCGCGGCAATGTCTGGTCGGGCCCAGCCCCGTTGGGGCCGACGTAGTTTTCCGTCCGCCCGCGCTCGGTCATGCGAAACACGTGCTCTGAGCGAATGGCCCTGCTCTCCGTAGGAGGGCGAGTTATGGTCACCAGGCGAGAAGTATGCATTCTACTGTGCTTCGCGCTACCCCGCAGCGTTCTGCCTCTACATCGTGGACTGCTTCATCCGCTGCCGTCGCATGGACTGGCCACGAGGCATGCCGAACCTTCCGAGCGGGCACAGCGAGGCTTTCAAATCTTTACACACGCCCCCATCTATAGATGTATGTATGAACACATATGGTATCGCAGTCCCTCATCAACCTCACTCATCACATCATACACCTCCATCCACCGCCTCGTCACCACACCTCCCCAACCTCCACACCAATAACCGTAATGACTATCAATCAGCTGTCCGACAGACCATTCACGTGATCTACGGGGTCTGTCATTGACAGACGCGTCTGTCATATGACAGACCCGTCTGTCATATGACAGACCCGTCTGTCATATGACAGACCCGTCTGTCATATGACAGACCTGTCTGTCATATGACAGGCCCGTCTGTCATATGACATGCTGTCTGTGCGTTGCGCGGCAGACCGAGTGAGCGATACGCTGATGAAGTGCCGATTCCACCAGGCATCTCATCACGCACGCCGAGGTTCGAGTGCTGGCCGCCATTGTGAGCAGCATCGCGATTCCGCAGGGGGTGCCCACTGTCAGCGAGGAGGCGCAATGCGAGATGCAGCCGATAGAGGTCGAATGGGATGGAGCTCATATCCATGACCCCTCCACCTCAGCCCACCACCCCCCCGCTCATCCGTCCCCTGCCGCCATGCCCCCCTCCCCCACACCCGCACCCATCCACCCAATCATTCTCTCACTCCCACACCTCCACGCTACAGCGTTCCTTTCCTCCTCGTCCAATCTTCTTTAGTTTTATGTGCGTTGCATGGTTGCGCACCGTTCGTAGGTGCAAGCACCCACCACCCGAAAGGGCAAGGTCCGCGCGGGCAGGGCCCGCGCGGGCAAGTCAGCACCAGCGGCATCGTCGCCCGCATCATCAGCAACATCGGCGACGCAAACATCGCTGAGGAGGTGGATGAAGCCAGGGCTGCATCCCGAGCTGGCGCCTGGCTCACAGGGGGCCGCCGCCGCGCAGGAGGACTCGAGCGATGAGTCTGATGAGCGGCCGCTCGTGTCGACGCCGCTCACGGTGACGCCGATCAAGAAGCAGAAGATCAGCACCAGCCCGATCAGCTGCAACAGCAGCCCCGCTGGCGGCAAGGGCGACACGCTGGCCGACCTGATCGGGTCAGCCCTTGACGTTCCAGACCCGAGCCCTCTGCGTCCTGGCCAGTGGCGGTGCCCGCTCTGCGACAGCGTCTACAGCGTGGACCACCATGATTGCTGCGTCCAGTGCATGTGCGACCCGTCGGGCTTCCTCATCGAGAGCTCGTCGAGGGTACACACCGTCCTCCAGCATGGCTCGTTGTTCGGCGGATTTCCACGCGGGACGCGTGATGGGCAAACGATAGAAAAACCATCCTCATCCACCCCGTCTTTCTCCTCCACCCCTCTCCACCATGCTTCGCTCACACATTCCTCCAGCTCCACCGTGATCCACCCGCTCCGCCTCCCCCGATCACACTTGACCAGATATCGCACCCCGACCACCCTGCGGGCCTGGGCCTCCCGCGCCCTCATCGTGCCTCCCCCCGCCAGGACAGCGATGTTGCCTGGCTGGTCGACGAGCCCATCTCCGTGCACGCGCCCCAGGAGCTCTAGGCCAGAAGGGAGAACGCGCGCGAGCCACATTACCATGGGAAAGGCATTCCAGGGGCCGCGACCTCCAGCATCGGGGAAACATCATGAATGGGGAGCGTGGGGCTCCAGGGGCCTGGGGCCTCCAAGGGCCCCAAGGGGCAGTTTCCGTGGCCTGGGGCCTCCAAGGGCTCCAGGGGCCTCCAAAGAATTCCATGGGCCCAGGCACCTCGCGTGGCTTGCTCACGTTCCCCCCAGCTACGTGAACCCGTTCATCAACTTCAGGGAGCAGCCCACGGCTGCGTCGGACCCGCCCTCGGATTGATCCGACGGCCCGCGGTGGTCTCTAGGTGCATCGAGGGGCCCAACGGGCCATCGACTGCGTCGGCCGACAGCCCGCGGAGATCTCCATGGGCCTCGAGAGGCCTGAGAAGCAATCGACTGCGTCGACAGACGGCCAGCGGGGATCTCCAGGGGGCCTCGAGAGGCTTGACCATCAGTCGGCTTCACCTACATACAATTCGAATCCTTCGCTCCGAGGGCGCTGGATCCCGAGTGCCGCTTTAGCTTTTTTTGTTTCCCGAAGGGGCGGCTTCGCGCGGCTTGTTTTTTTTTATCCGAAGGGGGCCTCGGGGGGCAAAAAACAGCTACCGACAGACAAATGACAGACAAATGACAGATCTGTCATTTGTCTGTCACCCCCACAAACGCACGATACATACATCAGTTTTTGAACCCCCAGAAATGACAGACATATGACAGATCTGTCAGTGTCTGTCAGGGTCAGAAAACACTGTAAAAACACAGCTGAAGTGAGTCTGTCAGTGTCTGTCATTTGTCTGTCATTTGTCTGTCAGTGTCTGTCACCTACAAGTACAGAGTTTTCATGAATGTATCCGGCAGAACCACTGGTGACAGACAAATGCCGGACAAATGACAGACTAATCTGAACCTTCGGAGCGGGGGCTGAGTGTCTCGGCTGCGCGTCGGCGAGCAGCCAGATTGCTCGGTGGACGCGCGCTGGCCGCAGTTGGCGGCGCCGCGGCGGATGCGTGGTGGCTTCGCGCCACGCTTGGAAACGTTCTCTGTCAGCCCCTCTCACCTACCTCAACCTCACCCCCCACCCCTCGGGAGCCTGGTGGACCTGGTGACTTCCCGCAGGGGGCGCGAAGATGATCGCATTGCGCGCTTTGCGGTTTAGACAGGGGGGTCGCCCTCCTCGGGGGATGCGGGAGAGCGCGAAGATCATCGCGCGTCGCGCTTCTCGGTCGGGGCAGGAGGGTCGCCCTCCTCGGGGGGCGGCGGGGGAGCGCGAAGATAAGCGCGCTCGGCGCTTCGTGCAGCGCAACGCGCGAGCCTCGGCGCCCCAAGTCCGATGCCGAAGTTGGCACCTGATCGTGAATCAGGGGGTCACGGGATGTCTGGGGGT